AGAAACCTTTAAACTTGCAGCAATGTATATAACATGAGGAATCAATTGAATTGATTATATTTATTATTATTATTTTTAATAAATGTAAATAAATCTCAACCATTCAACCATTAAAAGTAAAGATAAATAGTTAAAATTTTGTATAAATATAATGTATAAAATTTATGTGTAAATAAATCTTTACTCATACACGTATATGAGGTAGGATCCTTTTACACATTTTTATAAATTTTACACAAAATCACAATTACTCATTTTATACTATGAACAATTGAAATTTATCATATTTTTTTGGATAAAACAATGATTCACTAAAAAAAAATTAAAAAAAAAATTCAATCATTCATAATGAAAAATAAGTAGTCAAGATTTGATGTAATTGATATGTATAAAAATTATGTATAAGTGGATTTTTAACTATTCATATTCTTATTTTTAACAATTGAGATGTAATTATTTTTATCATTTAAAAAATCGTGATAAATATCTACTATTAAAAATAAAAAGATAAATAATTAAAATTTTATATAAGCATAATATGTAAAATTAATATATAAATTAATCATTCTTATATATAACATAAATTTTATATACTACACTCACATAAAATCTTAATTATTCATTTTTTCACTTTCAATAGTTGAGATTTATTTTATTTTTTAGATAAAAAGATAATTATATTTAATAAATGTGAATAAATTTTAAACATTGAAAGTAAAAAAATAAAAAATTAAAATTTTATGTAAATGTAGCATATAAAATTTGTATATAAATGAATTTCGATTTTATATATATATACACACTCATTTAAATAAATGTGAAGGAAATATATTGGGAGTAAAAAAAATTATACCTTCTGGGCATGAAACTACAAATGGTTTCTTGATCAATTCGAGCATTTTTGAAGAAGGTTGAGAATGCAAAAGTGCGGAATATGGAATAGAAACACCCAAAATGATACAATCTGCAAAAGAGAAATGAAATTAATTCTGCTTTAATTTATACTTTATAGCAAAGAGACTAAAAATTTGTTACATAAATATGAGAATTCAATTTAATTAAATTCTCAAGGGAATTTATTAATAGGAATTCCTTCATTTTCAAACTAAAAGATAAGGAATAAAGGAAATGAGGGTTGATTTAAGAAATGACTTGCATATCTAGAGAAATTTTAAGTTGAAATTATCTAAAAACTCTAAGATTTGTAAAAGATAACGAAAAAAAAGATCTAATTATCAAGTCAAACATAAGGAGATACTACTAACTAAAAAAATGCGTCAAAAATATAATAGACAGATTTACTTATATAATGAAATGCATCAAAGAACTTAACAAAATCAAACATAATCCATTTATGTGGTACATTAAAAAATAAATATGCTTGTTATTTCTAAGCTGACGTTGAAATAAGTAAAGGTTGATTACTACCAACTAAAAAAAAAAAAAAAGAGTTCTGTTGTCAGATGCAGATTCAAAAAATGAGACAAAAATCAATCGTAAAATAGTAATTAATTTAAAGAAAACAACAATTACAATTTTCTCAAAACAACTAAGAATGACTTTAATAAGGATATATTTAGCAAAAGACTTATTCACAAATTGCTCAAATATGTACTTTTTAGTTATTTCAAAAAATTTTAAAGAAGATACAACAAAATTAAAAACCAAAAAAGAAAGCACTCTAAAACCTTATACTTTGGAGGAGATTGAGGAGGAAGAGTATAATTCAAAGAAAAGAATATACTATATACTAAGCTTTAATAATTTAGTGATGAAGTTAGAAAAGCTTATATTAAAATGAAGCTTTTGAGAGAAGAGAAAA